TGAACCTCTGTGCCGCGTGTCGCATGTTCCAGTGTGTATGGCACCACTGATCCACTTACTCCCTTACATGTCCAGTCAAGTGTGTTTAATTTGCCTTCTAACAGTGACTCCCTCGGTTTGCACATTGTCGTGGTGTGAAAAGCCTCCCTTTGTTTTGCATGTGCGTGGAGATCTAGATGTAGACCTCTGGAAGCGAGGAGAGTGTGAGGATGATGGTGCGAGAATGATGGTGTGTGCGTGTGTGTTGAAGAGGTGTGCAAGTTTGTTTTGCGAGCGTCCACATAGATGTACTGTAAATGTGTGTCTGCAGTAAGAGAAAAATCCCGAAACCTAAGACAAGTGGAATCAATTTGTCCTTGGTTTGAACATTGTACTAACCCTTCCCCGACCTGAAGTGTCAGAATCAAACCTAGGATCCATTCTCTTACCCCCATCAAAGATAAAGAAAATATGCCTCAGCCATATTTTCTTTACCTGTCCTGTGAATCCTTTGGCAAAAGAAATTCCATTAACAAAATCTAAACGCTGTCTGGTCCACAAAAATCGCTTCAATGTACTAAATCATCCTGTAAAATAAAAGGTTAATCGCAAAAAAAAAAGGACCTCCAGAAAGAAAAAGTTACAAAAGCTCATTTTGAATGCAGACCAAGGAAGGACGTTTTCTTTATTTCTTTATTTTTCTAATACACAGCAACAATTCTAATCCCAGAGTGTAATGGCTTGGCTTTGGCTATGTGTTACCCTCCAACAGGTAACCATCTCCGTTGATGGCATCCTCACCACAACTGGCTACACCCAGGAAGACTACACCATGCTGGGCTCGGATGATTTCTTCTATGTAGGGGGGAGCCCCAGCACGGCAGACCTGCCAGGATCTCCAGTTAGCAACAACTTTATGGGCTGCCTCAGAGAGGTAAGAGGAGCTCAGATGAATGCATTATTAGTGCGGTATGAATGCTAATGTTAAATTTGTGCGTCTGCTCTCCATTTCAAAGACAGCTGTATTTGAAATGCACAAAAAACAGTAATCAAGGCACATCCCACTAAAAGCCTTGAAAGAAAGGACAAAAAGATTGCATTGTCAATTAAAGCTGCTGAGTTGGCAGCAGAAGCATCTGAGTTTCAATATTCCCCCACTTAATCTCATTCATAACACTTACCGCAGCCTGTGTGAGGAAATATCCCAAAATTGCTTCTGTCACATGTAATTTGCAGCATCAGCTTGAGTCTGCCGCTAAAACGTCTCCCAACGGGCGGCAATGTGGAGGAAATATTTGTTTATGATGAAAAAGGGGGGAAAAACGCAGTTGTTTTGGACATTTTCTAATATATTTCCAGGCTCTTTCAGCCAAAAAGTGTATTAAGTGCCTTGTTATTTACCTGCCCTGTTTTGCCCGCCATTACTTACTCTGCAGCAATTGATGATAATAAAGACACTGCTGGTAGCTATTTAGAGCTGGGGGAAAAAAAGACATCGATTTTGTGCTTTAGTAGCTGTTTGTCTTTTTATTTGAGATTGCAAGTTTCTGTATTTTTTTACTTCTCTACTGTTTTATACTGTACAGTACTGTCATATTAAGATTAACTGGGTTTGGTCCAATTCTTGAACGGAACCCGACCATTTTGAGTCGGTATAGACTCTTAGATTGGAATTGTTATCTCAAAGCAGGACTAAATGAACAGATCGCACCAGTCTCATCACCCTTCCACAACATCTAACTTAGCAAAGTACAGATTTTAGATCACATTTATTGGCACTTTGTCACGAGCACCGCTTCCCAGAGACAACACCAAAGCCCACTGTTTTAGGTTTTCTGTGACAATTATAATATAAAGGAAAGTTTCCCAGATCCTCCAGTCTGGGGGGCACAGTCCTACACATGTTTTCTCAGACACTAGCTGCCAGGTTTGGCCACTGTATTGGGAAAGTCACCTTGTCTGCATTGTTGTGCGTTTCGGCTGGACGGCTCAGACGTTTGCTCCTCCAGTCATTAGCCTCATCCATCCTAAAACTGCTGTGACCTGGGCTGACTGAGACACATTTACTGGTATAGTAAATGCATTCTCTGCAATGACCGAGTGGTGCCTGCGGATTCGCACAAGGCTCACGTCCTCACTTCACTTTACTCAAATATGTGATTGATTTTCTCTTAACTGATCACAAAGTGATGCACAAAGAAAGTACAGCACCTCAAGGGAGCTGCCTGACTGTGTTTGTTTGTGTTTGAATATCTGAGTCACGCATAAACAAATAAACAATGGTCGATGGGGGAAGAGTGTTCAAAATCAGCACAACATGCACTCTCTAATAAAAAATTCTCCCTCTGATGGAATAGTGTTGCATGAAAAAAACATGTATCTCGTTGTTTCTTTTGAAGCATGGAAGGAATTGTTGATTTTTTTCCTTTTTTTTTTGTCTGGTTCTGTAGTCAGCCCAGAGCGAAACATGAAACATAGATGAACACGTATGCCGGTGCTGCAGAGCGGATTGGCAGCAGCACGTGTTTCATGTGAGCTCAGCGGCGACATGCTTAGCATCAAACTAATGCCGGCTTCCTTCCCTCTGCTGTACAGTTCAGACGGATTGTGTTAACTTTGCCTCACAACCTTAGCTTAATTGTTGCTGTTTCAACCCCCCCATTAGTGCTTCAGTAACTTCCAAACCATTCGTTTAGGTTTGGAGGAGTAAAAAAAAATGCGGATGCACATCTCTTTACGGATTCACAGCACGCCGTCCCATAGGAGCTTAATTGATCCCTACCTGACCTCCATCACCTGTACCACAATGAAGGAAAACATGAGAAATCCAATGAGATGCAGCTTACGTTTAGACCAGGAGGTGCACCACAGTTTCTTATAATGTTCACTTTGAGCAGAAATGTTCGTCAGTTGGAAAAAAAGTATTATAAATAGAGATAATTGTTAATCCTCTTAGTCTGGCTTTATTTTAAATGCATTTGATGTTATTGTATGGAAGCATGGTGAAGGTTATTTAATAATTTAACTTTGTTTACTGCTGAAAAGCATATTTCCAAGTAACATGAAAAGAAGTACTGGAGCCACCTTAACATTTCTTTATAAATTGCTTCCAAGCACACTTTTTATAATCTTTTGATGGTCTTAAGCAATATTTCTCCGTACTCTTTAAAGGTCTTTTACTGTGCACCACAAGGTGAATATGCCTTTTGTTGGCTCAACACTGGACTCCAGTGTTGTGTTGTGTGTAGTGCCTATAATATGGCATACAACATATTTAAAAGGTAATTTCTGCTGGTGTCTTAAGACAGTTCCCAAAGGGCTACAATCTGAAAATTGGACATACTGTATCTCACCCAAGAGACCTGAAACATTTTTAGAAATTAGTGGCTGGCCTAACATATAGAGCGGATTGTATAAAAGGGAAACAGGGAGAAAAGGTTTAGGTATAAAAAAAGGCACAAGAAGTAGAATAAAGGTCAGTGGCAACAGGTCAAATGGAGGGATGACACCTCCATAATTTAAGATCATTTCGATGGAACAAAAGCCAGCCAATATCTAAAGAAGAGTCTTGGAACAGTTCCTGAAGACTACTTCAAAGATTCTTAGAAAGGAAAAGGGAAAGAGGGTTCTGGCTGTGCTCACACAAATGAAGGACTTCAGTGAAGCTCACTACAGATGTACACACTTTGATTTAGCTCTCATTCATGTTTGGACAGGGTGTAATGCATTTCTGTTCTTATTTCACATTTACCTGTGTGCGGTTTCTCCTTGAAAAACCAACCTTGTGGGATGTAAAATGTCAAAAGGTGCACACTGGACCATAATATTGTTTGAGCTCAGTTACACTTCTTTTGGTACAATAGACAGCATCTCATCTCCATCAAGTATATACCACTATGGGTCATGCCCATCCACTGCGGAGTTTTGATGTATTCCTGGATACATGTTTGTAAACAGTGCAAAGGAAAAGCAGCAGTTGCATAATGAACGCTTTGCAAATGCGTGACATGTCACACTTAGAACAGGCATTTGTTGACACTCGCAGCTGTAATTTGAAGTCTTGCCTTCAGCAACTTTGTCCACATGTGATCCCCTGATATCCCCCCCTTCCATCCAGCTGTGTTTTGGCATCCTCCACGGCAGCCGTGTTCGTCACGTGCCTCCAATGTTATCTGAACGAGCATGACTCAGCATGACTCGGCTCGCGATTGAGATCGTGGCGTGGGGAGAGCGGCGGAGGTGGTTCACGGTGCGGCCGAGCAGAGGGAGTCCTGTTTGATTTCCAACTCTTCCACAAATGCGCCGCTCCATTAATCTGGCATGGTGCTGGCTGCTTCCCAGGACCATGCAAATCGCTCAAAGCAGGACTTGTGAGCTCGCCCTCATGCCTTTTTTTGTCTGATATATTTGTTTGATCATTTCTTGAGGCGTGTGACGTGTTCTCCTTTGTACAGTAGGCGTGCGTTTGCGTGCAAACTCTCACCTCCTTATGCATCGTGCCTCTCTCCCCTCGCCACTCTTTGTCTCCTCGGCTCTATTCGTTTTTTTCCAGATTACGAGAGGGTCCAATCTATTCTCCTCAGTTAGGTCTGTTCTTTTCAGATTAGTGCGCATCGGCATTTGTGCTCCGGAACTTCAGATGTGCCTTTGTCGAGCATTCCTAATGACGTTCGTCAGCCCGACAACTAAAGAGACGCCGCACAATGCCGCTGTGGCCGTCTCTCCCTTGTTCAGTCCTCACCGCGCTCGTGCGCGCCTCCAGGCTACAGTAAGATGTCATCCGCGCACAATGCGCCGGGGCTCCGCCCACGCTCGTGCTTTGGCCACGTGGGCTTTGAGCAGGTCACATGACCAACGGGCCAGCGGGCAGCGAGCGCTGGATGCGCTCTCTGGTCGGCTTGATATTTGCAGCGCCGTGCAGTTTGCAACCTTCTGCGACCTCCTTTTCCCCCTGCCCCACCCCAGCTCCCCCTAGACCCCCCCCCCCCCCCCGGGGGCCCCCCCCCCCATTGCTTGTGGCATCAGAGGCACCCGTGGCGGCACTGCAGCTGCGGATGGCGACTTATGTCAGACAGCAGGGGTGGATGGGACACGCAGTGGCATCTCTGCTGAGAAGAGGAGCAGGGGATGCTGATGAGTTCAGCGCGGGGGGTGGAAAGTGTGTGCTTTGAGAAAAGTGGGAGTGGCAGGGGATGCTGGAAGAAAGGTGAACAGATTAAGATCAAGAGAATGTTTTAAAAAAGTGGGTCAAAAGACAAATATCTGACACTTTGAGAGGGGAATGTTCATCAGTTTTGCGCCAGTCGCCGCCGTATTTTTGGAGGCTTGTTTTGTTTTTTTACCCTTGTGCGTCAGAAAAAGAAAAGTCCCTGTAATGGATCGAACAGTGATGGGAAAAAAATGGGACCTCCTCTGCTTTTCTGAAAGACAGGTGCTGAAACAGGCGTTTTTTTGTTGGGATTCATGAAGGTGAACTTTGCGTCAGAATTAAATCCCTCAAATCAAGCAACCGAAAAACTGTTCATCCCCTCCTTTGAAACCCACAATGGTATCTTCCAAATTACCACTCCGGTTCCAAGTCACAGAAGGGACTTATAGCTGGGAAAACATCATTTTCTTCAATAGCTGACAAAGCCCTCTTCAGGAGGAAAGAGTTGGGCTGAGTGGCATTGTTGTGGACAGCTCTTTTAAGAGTCCATGGAGAGTTCTAGTGTATTTTTTCCCTTCAGGGTCACATTTTGTTAAAAATGTCACACCCAACCAGTTATACTTTCTTCTTGGTTGGGTTTCAGACATAAACAGGAATTGGTTACAGGAAAATAGTCACTGTTTGGGGTAAAATACATGTACACACCGCCACAATCAGAGTAATGGATGCCATTTTCTTGCTTGCCTAAATGACAACCAAATACGTAACTTTTATTAAACTTTCTACTTGTATTTTGGCAGTAAAATCACTTAAGGGATAAAATACTTTGTTAAAACGTAATTACATAGTGCCTGCAACCCTAAAGTCACCCTTTCATCATTGCCGTCACTAATAAAGCCTTTCACTGTAGTTACAGGTCACGCCTGCATGAGCAATCAACTCACAGGGTCATTTTTTTTTGGGGGGGGGGGTCAGCCTCTACATCACACGGATTATCACCTGAATTTCACAAACAAAACTTTTTGCCATAATGGCGTGAGGTCATTTGTTAATTATGATTGTACTTGATTAGGCTTAAGTTTGGTTGCTCCAAATTCTGCTGGAGCTCTGTTCAAGCTAACCATGCTTAATATTCTCACCTAGTTGTAAAATTTCATGTTTGTTTTAATTTACAACATGAAATGTATAATGAACATCGTTTAGTGTATTTAATTTCTGTACATGTCAAAAAGACTGTCTTTTACCTATTTAATGATGTCAAATTGAAAAACAGCTAAATGTGTCATTGGTTACAGTGCAAACAAAAACTCCTATTTCACAATTTCCTCTCAGTTACAGCTAAACTCAGCACATGGAGCTAAACGAAAAACAGTGAAAATCAAAAATCGGCGCCTGAGCATCTTGAGTGAAAGTCCCTATCATCGAAGTGTGTGACCAGGCTGTAAAACTTTTCAGAAGCACAGCGATGCATCAAATTTAATCGACTGAAACATTTGCTGGAAATAAGAAAGAAAAAAATATATATTGTCAAGGATCAGTTGCTTTGACTCACAGCAAAAATAAATAAAAAGATTACCGAATCGCCGCGGCAGGTGTGACCCGCCAGGGCGGGGCTGAAACCACAGAGGCCGGAGGCTGGCAAAAATGCAGCAAGTTCCCGGGCAAGTTAATGTGACGAATTGAATGGGACGCCTGGCTGTGTGTGTTTTTGAGGGGGGGCGCTGCTGGCGTGGGTCGCCACTGCCCGAGCAGGCTCGTCCCCCGTGCTGTTTATTTGGCTCCAGGAAGGGGTTTTCTTCACTCAAACATCTGAAAACAAACCTTTCCTGAATCACCTGACGTTACATCTGGAAGATAATGCTGCCGTTATGTTTTTTATTTTATTTTTTAAATTGTCAGGGTGTCTTGCTTTTTAATGCGTCCGTTGAACGCTTTATTTTTTCTTTTCATTCAAGGCATAGCAGGCCCTAAGCAGACATACCGTAAAGCTTGCATGGATCTGTCTCTGTAGTAATGAACTCCACTCATGAAAGTAAGTGTGCACATTTGTTGGCGTGTGAGCGCCTTCTCGTGTTTGCATCTTCGCAGCTCTTCAGTGGAATTACCCTCCTCCTTCATTAACAGTGGGGCTAAATCAGCAGCTGACAGCAGCTGCGAAAGGGGGCCGGAGGGACGCAAGCACTGATTCGAAGTAGATAAGGGCGAAGATGGGGAACGTATGTGTGTCTGTGTAAGCAAACCCCGCAGTGCTACCCTTCCCTTTCCCATCCCTCTTTTAGCCGTGCCGAGGCACGATCAATACACCATCCTGAGGAAGAGATGCAGGATCTTGACTTTATGGAGTTGTTTTTAGTCCCCCGTGTGTGCATTATGAATGGGCCCCATAAGGCTGTTGAGAGGCTACAGGATAGTGTAGCAAAAAGAGCAGCCACAACAAAAGAAAAAATGAGCCCCACTAGTCGGGTCTTATTTTATAAAATCATTTTGATAACCTTATTGATCAGCCTGCAGCAGGAGAGATACAATCATAATCCCAAAACAGAAAAGAGGTAGTTGGGTGGAAGATTAGTATGTACCAGAGCAATGCTGTGGAAGGATGTTCCATTCTCAGCTGGACTCCAACTTCTGTCTATGATCAGGCTATTAGGTACAAAAATGTGTTATGAGGTAATGAACTGGTTTTTATTTTATTTCTCCATCCAGAGACAGTGTGGGAGTAAATTTTTAACAGGTTTCAACAATTTACATCTGACCACCGCAGGACTTATAAAAAGGTTCTATGGCACGGCTCTAAAATTCCACTGCAAATGAGCAGAATTTCTCTTTCTTCTGTCTTTCCCTTTTCATGTTATATTCAGTAGTGGCCCAGAGAAGCCCAAAAGAGGAATGCAAGGTATTATTATTCAGAGGGAAACAGATAAAAACATCTATGTTTCAGAGAAATCTCTGTCTCTTTGTTAAAGAAAAGCTAGAGCTACACTGCTTCAGCAGCCCGCCTGTGAAGGTTATTTGTGAAATCATCTCTGTGCTTAATATAATGTAATGTATAACTGCCCTTATTGCTCTGACATAGAGAAAAAAAATAGACAGCAAATACCAATTTGTCTGATCCCAACTTTAGCTGATGAAAATTTAATATAAAAAGAAAAAAAAGAAACAAGGTTTCTAACTTCAGATTTTACATGTTCAGATTAAGATACTTTTTTTCAGTATCTCTTTTTTTATATCCCACTTTTTATTTGTAGTATCAAAGGTGGCGTTTGATATGACATGGGTTGTGGAAACATAAGTGACTGCAAAAGCAATCTTATCTCTGCTAGTAGTTCCGTCATTTGCCACTGACTACTGTTTGGGACGCATTTTTGAGGTGATAGTATTCACTATGAACTTAAGACATTTTCGTTTTTGTAGAGTTTAGCCATTGATTTAGAGGATTTACTTTCTTATTTTCTGCTCCATCAGTATCTTTCCATCAAAACTATTAAGCGTTTAACACATTTTTTGGTGGAATTCTACCTATAATGATATGTCGATTGTACCTGTAAAAATCCTGTAAAGGCGACAAAAAAATAACTAAAAACCAAAAACATGCTGTTTCATCGAACAATCTTGTATTCATTTTATGAGGGAACAGGAGTACCCGAAGGTAAGTTTATGTGGGAAACATGCTGCTGACTCCAAAGATCCACAGCGAGCTGTGGTTTGTGCTGTGAAAGCTGCGACATTGTTTTAACTGGGAGCTTTGCTCACATTTCACTCCCCCAGATCACGTCAGTCACGGATGCTTTATTTTAGCACTCCGCTCACCTGACTGTCTGTGAAGCACGCTGAGATAGATATAGACACTTTCTCATCATTGCACATCTCGAACCACCTTAAGCTTTTACAGTTCCTGGGATTTTAAGGAAGAGACTGTGAAGACAAGACTCTGTCATGATCCTAATTCCCGGTTAAAGGCATTGAAACCGGTGTGAAATAAGAATAAGCAAGTTGCTCGAGCTCACTGACAAAATGCTAAGTTGAGACATTAAAGGTAGATTTAATTAAAAAAAAGGATGTAATGTTTCAATTAACAAGCATTATGACTCTAAAATGACTAAAAGGAAACAATATTTTTAAGGTTTCCGAATTCAGCTACAGCTATAAAGCTACTCTCCATTATTGACTTGCATTTCTGCCATTCCTTTAAAGGAGAAACAAATGAGTCTGACAGCAGGGAGCAGCCTACAGGGCCTGCTCTTATAAGCTCATGATACTGCAGTGCGTGTATAAGACTTTTTCTCACTCTGTTTCCTGTAGAGCAGCATGCACGAACAATGAGTTAAACCTTAATGTGAAGAATGTGTGCGCATTTGCAGAAGCTGTACCGCGAGCAACAACATTACAGGGACAAGAATCCTTTTTTTTTGTCTCCAAGTGGCATGGTGGTGTGGCGGTTAGTGCTATCCCCTCACAGCGAGAGGGTTGGCGGTTTAACTCCCCGGGGGACTGGGACCTTTCCTCTTCGAGTTGGGATGTTCTCCCTCCCATTGTCCAAAAACATTCAATGCAGGTTAATTGGACACTCTAAATTACCCCCAGGAGTGAATGTGAGTGTGTGTGTGTGGTTGTTTGTCTCTGTGTAGCCCTGTGATGGACTGGGATAGCCTCCAGTGACGCTGTCCACAACAAGCAGTATGGATGAATGGGGTCCTCTTTTTCGTCATGTTGCAAGATTATATTTGTAAATGTAAAAAAAAAGGAGGAAACAAAACTTAATAAACCAAAAGGTTCAAGGGGCTTGTCAAGATATCAAGTTCTGTCCTTGAAAAGGATATTCTTGGTCCCCATTCATGAGATACTTTAGTGTTTTTTAGTTTAAATAAGTTGGAATCTGATGACAGTAAATAGGAGTGACATTGTTTGTCCACAGCTGAATGCATTGGAAATTTAGGAAAATGTTGCTCCAAAAATGTGCCCCTACAAAATTTGCCAGCCCTCATTTTCCCTCCTCCTCATCTGTTTGGACTTTCAAGTGCCACCTGTGACCTGTGATCCACACTGGCATTTCTAGAAAAGTCTTAGGCTCTGTAATAAATATGGTCACTTTTATGAGTTCTGCTGTGTACATCTTTTAGTCCAGAGCTTGTTTTAAAAATGAGCGCGTTGTCTTTCTGCTAACGATATTTGTTCTACAGAGGACCTTTTGTTGGATGTGGTGAAATTAAGGCAATCAATTTTGTGGGATGTATTAAAGTCTTGTCGGTGCTCAAGAGGTAATATCGAACCTCTAAAACATTCCTGTCTCTTATGGACGGGAACGTTTTTGGTAGGCGCATCTAGCAACCCGTATTTTCCGCTTCCTTTGACCTCTTGGTGTCTTATCCTTCTGTCCTTCTCCTCACCAGTTTGTTTGTATCTCACTCTGGGGTTTTTTTTTCTGTCACTGTCTGCCCCCGTCTCATCAGTTCTGAGAGCTGGAGGCACCTGTGTTGATTTACTGTCAAATCTAGCAGGATTATCAGTAATCCTACAGCAGTAAAATCTGCCTGCTGACAGATGTGCTCCTACTAACAGCGTTCCTGCATCCTTTAGACACACACACACACACCACAGGAAGAAACTCCAAAAAAACAATAATTTTCTGGCGTCAAAGGGGTTCCAGTTGACATTATTGTTCTTTTTTCTGTGTTTTTTTGTTGGATTTGATGTGTTGCTGATTTTCCACTGTGAGGGATTATGGACTTTTCAAATGATTTTTGAAACACGCATGATATTAGGTATATTTTTCCAGAGTCACAGCTTAGTCTTAAATCACGAAGACGCCGGGAATGAGTCACCGATGATTTCGAAATGACTTCTCCCACCGCTCTCAGGCCGTAGGTGTTCATTTGAACAGAGGCATTTTGTTTACAATCTCCTTTTTTAATCTTGAATAAATTGGAGCCGAAATCGAAAATAACTGAGACAAACACAGCTCAGAAGATATTAGTTTTATTGATCCCGCTGTCCTCGAATCTGTAATATGTAATACCCCCAGAACACGGTGCTATGATATCACACTTTGAAATGGAGTGCAATTCATTTATAGAGAAATTATATTTGATTTTTCGAGCACCACTGCGCTGGAGGATCTCCTACGCTGACACAATGTGCATGATTAAAAACAAGCAAAACTATTTTATATATGCCCGAGGGGTCCTCAAGTCTCCTTTGCATATTCTCCTCAGGTGGTGTATAAGAACAACGACATCCGGCTGGAGCTGTCCCGCCTGGCCCGCATAGTGGACCCAAAGATGAAACTCCAAGGGGACGTGGTTTTCAAGTGTGAAGACGTACCCACCCTGGACCCCATCAACTTCGAGACCCCGGACTCCTACCTTGCGCTGCCCAAATGGAACACCAAACGGGTGGGCTCCATCTCCTTCGACTTCCGCACCTCCGAGCCCAACGGGCTGATCCTCTTCACGCACGGTAAGCCCCAGAACCGGCGGGACGCCAAGGGCCAGAAGAACAACAAGGTGGACTTCTTCGCCGTGGAGCTGCTGGATGGCGGGCTGTACCTGCTGTTGGACATGGGCTCCGGGACCATCAAAGTCAAAGCCACCCAGGCCAAAGTCAACGATGGCGCCTGGCACCACGTGGACATCCAGAGGGACGGGCGCTCAGGTACGACCGGAGGGACGGGTTGGGGTTGGAAAACAGATGGGTGCCAACACACAGCGAGCAGAACGAGTTTTTGCTTCTTTTTTTTTAAATGTCACATATTTTCAGCGTCACTGACACGGTGTGTTGAAGTCGTCAAACTCCGACCGGTTCTTCTGTAGGAAGGCACCGGGGGCTTGTTAATGCCCCTACTTTTCAGTTTTTGCTTTCGCTCAGCTTCAGGAACACACAAAACGAGAATGGCTTCAATCAGAACAGGGAACTCCTGACTCAATTAAAGTATTCCGCCTTTGGCTAAACTCTGCTGCATATAAATTTACAGAGTGAGAGCTGACAAGGCAACTAACAAATTGTCAGAGTAATAAAAATGCTGCTGAACAGTATATCCTAGAATACATAGTCAAGAGTAACTACTTATTTATTTTTACATTGCCATAGATGCATACTGCATGAGATGATACTAATTGTGTGTGATATTTATTTATGCTTTAACTGGGAATGTGATACCTGTATTTCAGTCTTTTACTTTTTTTCCCCCAAACATTTCATGGGCTGACAACTGGAATTTTGTCTTATTGCTTTAACAGAGACACTGTGTGATTAAAAAAAATTACAAACCATCTAACCCATCAAATTTGAGCTGTTCAGCTTTGCGCTGCATTCAGCCTCCCTAACCTTATCTCTGACTAACTCTGTATCTTGGAAGCGGGAAGTTTTTCCCTTTCATTAAATTTCATCAGCAGTTATATAGTTCACTTGACTTCAGAAAGAGATGAGAAGATAACGTTTTATCATTACTTCATTGAATGTTCAATTTTCTTTTCCAGTCAGACACGAAAAAATTTTAAATGAGTCATTCAACGCTCTACACCTACTAATACAAAAAACTTTAATTAAAAGTATCCCTTAAAAGCAACTGTTCTTTCCAAGGACTGACAAAAACTGGAGCAAAACTCAGAGAAACAGTCTAAAAGGGGAGCCCATGGTGTGTGGATGGTTTTTCATCGATAGATCAACATGCCAGCCAGGTCATACGTTGGTTTGCCTCTATGTTTTTAACTAACTGCTTTTATACAGTACATTAGTAGCAACACTATAGTGCATAAAAATAAAACATTAAAAGAATAAAAAGGTAATGACAAAAATGTGAGAAAAATTAGAAACACAGGGAAATTAGATTAATTACTAATACTACTAGTACTAGTCCGGTATCAGGACTCCAGGATGATGTAAATGTCCTGAAAAATTTCATAGTCCGAGATGATTTATAACTAGGATAGTTTTGGTTTATAGTAGATACCTACGGAGTCCATCTTCCCTGGCCAGCTTCCATCTGTGTGTCCCATGACCTCAAAACATGCCAAAATACACAGAAAGTATTAGAAGAAGATTGCATTAGAAAAAGAGGTTAGAAACTTCTTTTGCCTTAAGCTCAGAACCCAACACAATCTCTGCATTAGGTAAGATCCTCCAGAGAACATGGTTGCGTTAGTGGGTGCGTTATATATCAGGTTAGAGCAGCCAATTTAGCCGTGTGTCAGCGCTCGCCGCTTTGATTAATCACCGGCGCTGCCCCCAAGTGCGATAGCAGAGTGGAAAGTTGGATTTTTCACGAGGAAAAAGAGGAATGAGACAGATAAGTGGATACCAGACTAAAAGATGGTTAAGAACAGGCATAATCACACTCATGGCCTGAGTGAAATGTTAATAGGAGTTGGGAGTGAATTAAATTCTGTGTCCACAAAGAGCTCACTTCCTGGCTGCTAGGTGAACATAGAAGATTGTGTGTGAGCTCATATTTCACAGTTTTCATGCAACCCAAATTGAGACTGTAAAGCACATGGCCTCAGAAACGTAATGGGAAAAATATTAAAGGGGGCATTTTTCATTTGTTAGAACTTAAAGGTTCGGAACATTAAAGAAAAAATTGATGAAGGTATTAAATACTTTCTTGACATAGAAATTCCAGAGATGTGATTTGTTGAGGTTATCTGAGGGAACCTGACTGTGGACAGCGACACTCGCCTTTTATTTACGGGCTCTACTCAGCAATTTTGTGGGTCTATGTTAGAAAGCCTGATGGAGTTGTTGCAAATTACGCTATTCAGGGTGCCATGCATAGGTTTGCCCCCCGACCCCCACCTGCTCAGACCATACATTTGTAAAGAGCCATGCGCTGTGTTATGTGACTGTTCCACAGCCTTGTCTTGTGCACATCCCACTCACAGGCCTGTTCCACATCTGTCATTCTGACCTGTGTCCTCAGTTTGATGAACAGAAATAGGGCTGTCAGACTCTTTGAAGACTTCTGAGTGCTGAGCAGTAAATAGCAGGCTGGAAATGTCCCCTTGGTTCTAAAGCATTTCAGTAATTTGAAGAAAGTTAGCTGAAACAGGAGTTGTTGTTTAGTTTTTTTAGATTGTAAATTATTGCAGTATATTCTTTTTAAAAAATCAAGAAGAAAAAAGCAACATCATGAACTGGAATCCAGTTCTGACAAGTTTTTCTCTCCCCCCCCGCCAGGCATCATCTCAGTAAACAGCCGCAGGACCCCTTTCACAGCCAGCGGGGAGAATGAGATCTTGGACCTGGAAGGAGACCTGTATTTGGGCGGTTTGCCGGACAACCGGGCGGGCCTGGTGCTGCCGACCGAGCTGTGGACCGCCATGCTCAACTACGGCTACGTGGGCTGCGTGCGGGACCTGTTCATCGACGGCCGCAGCAAGGACATCCGGCAGATAGGCCAGTCGCAGAACGTGACGGGCATCAAGTTCTCCTGCAGCAAGGCGACGGGGAAGCAGTGCGACAGCAGCCCCTGCAAGAACAACGGGGCGTGCAAGGAGGGCTGGAACCGGTTCGTCTGTGACTGCACCGGGACCGGCTTCTGGGACAGTACCTGTGAGAGGGGTGAGTCTCCTGATCAGTTACTCTTTACGGCTTCTGTCTTCAGGGAGGATCTAAAGAGCTATTCTAGCGTTTTCTGATTTGTTTGTAAAGGAGATGATATATTAGGATATATGGTACTGAAGAATTGTCTGTTTTTGTCTTTGAACTTTATGGTCAAGGGTTCGTAATGTCTACAGTACAAGCACAGCTGAAGTGAAATTTGTCTCTTGGTTTCTTAGAAATGGTTGCAAATTGACACTGATGCTGCTGTCCACATCAGCTAACAATAGCTTTTCTTAGGGAGCGGACAGCTTTAGCAGGAAGCCAGAAGTGTGACTTTGGAAACTTCCCCGTACATTATTTATGAAAGCTTTGCTGAAAAATTTAATAGGATTTCACTTTGCTGCCAAGTGGATGTTTTTTCTTTTTTCTTTTCTGTTTTTTTCAAAATTATGTTCAGAAAGCTTCTGGAGAAAAATTGAATTTCTTCCAGCTGGTGAAATGGGCTCTCTTTTGTCTGAGTTTTAAGAGATTGGACACATAAAGTTTTTATGAGATGGAGCAGACAGGGACTCTCGGAGCTGTGGGGAAGTACGTTATCTGAGCATTGTTCAGATTGTTCTTGGTTACTTCAGGACTTTACAGAGATTTACACGTTTCACTGAGGCGGTTTTGGATAGAATCATACCTGTATGAGGATTAATGAGCATCTGGAGAGCAGGTTGTTATAGCCGGCACTATGAATGGCCCTGGAGCAGGAATGAAAACGTGTCAATAACTAAGCCAATCAAGAACATCAGCATGTATTACTGTTTTATTTTAAATGGAGAACACATACATTTAAAGATGGAAGCAAACCCTTGAGGGGTTTTTACTGTATAAAACTTTAAGTAATGTAAGCAAGGAATGATGAAACCGTTCATTTAAGCCAGAACTCAGTGTAATCCACTGATGTGTTAGTTCAGGGAAACTCACATTTGAAATCCATATCAATTTAAAGAAAAATACACTTTTTATCTCCCTGCATGAAAAAAGAATTAAACTGAACTTTCAAGTGGAGGCTGAGTTTGGAAGCTGGCTCTGTCTGATCAAACTAACTCCTTTTCAGCCTCCTTATCTAACTGCATACTCCCACGATCGTTTACCCACAGACAACAGAGTAGAAAATAAACCGCCGCATGAACCGACTTTAAAACATTCGAACTGCAACGCCGTGCATCTACTTTCATTCAAACTGAGAAAAAAATATATAAAAATTTTATATTTTCGCATTGCTCCATGCCTTTGCGTCATCCCTCACCTGTCCCAGTCTGTTTAACTGTCGGTTTGTTCTCTCTGACCACGTGTAGATTGAGGTGGGCATCAAGTGTGCTGATGCAAACGGCTTCTGGCTTTGAATTTCTTGCTTCAAAATACAGCCATAAAATGAATCCCTGCAAGCCAGTTAAAATGTTCAGAGGAAGACATCCAAACAAGCCCGCAGGTTACTCGATAGAGGATCCACAACAAAGCAGATAGTTAACCTGGAGATGAACTCCCCTCCTATACTTCACTTCAAGATCCAGTCCATGAAAGACCCGTTTTGCCCACAGGATGGTGTGAAGAGCCAGTCCAACACATGCTGTAAAGTAGTGTAAAGAAAGAGGACGCTGCGCCTTTTTTTAAACTTCTGCATTGACTGAATTTCCTTAAAAGGGACTTTATGTCCCCCCTGCTGCTACCTGGCATTAGAACCTCTCTCTCAGGAATTCCAAGAAGGCCAGGCAAGGGGCTGAAAAAAGATAAAAGCAGCAGATTTAGAGCTTGATTTGCAGCTATAGGTGAAGACAGCACTCAGGTATCTTAAACAAAGCTGCAAATCTACTTTATGCTGTTCATCAAGGTACAATTCCGATTTAAAGAGTTTTATAAGCCTTTGCCGCCCACTCCTCGCACTGGTGCAGTTTGCTTTAGCCTTTTTTTGTCTTTAGGGCTGAGTAAGAGCGTAACGCTTAAATGGAATATCCACCCATTTGCAATCTTCATCTGGGAGTCCACAAACATTGTTGTCATCCCATTAGTCACAAATAGCGCAGGATCTATATGTTGGCAAGCCAGGTTTACTAATTCGGATCTCTTCAGCCTCAGTGTTCACCGAGGATTATTCACATCGCAGCTGTCCCCGCGTTAAACTGAAGCTTCACGAGATGAAGAGCTCCCTTTGATTTGAAATGTTGGGCTTGAAACAGCATGGGGTACTTTGTTTTCCTGTTTTCTTTTTTCTTGTTTCTTTATTTTATTTCCAGAATGAGTGTTTGGAACGAATGGAACTGTATTAGTCATGCTGCTGAAGAGCTTATTTTCCCTCTCCCCCGTGCTTTTAAGCAGAGCCCGGAGCTCTACAGCGACAATATCAAACATTCAGCGAGATGTATTCACACATGGCATTTGTTATTGATCTTAAGCACACTATATGCTGCAGCAGAGAATTTAGCCTGTATGATGAGACAAGGGATGAGATGATACGACGATAGCAGTGTTCTCCCAGTAAGTGGAACAAAGGTTATTCATTTACATTACAATGTTCCGCCTTTGCTAGACACATTCTTATTCTTTCAAAATGATATGTTGAGATCAACCAAGTGGGGATTTTATGTATGTACTTGGAAGGCATTGTAAATATTTCTCACTCGGTATCTGCTGCAAACTGAACTCCCAAATAAGCAAAAAGACCTACAAACTGAACAGTAATGATAGTTTACCCCCATGACGAGCGTGAGTATTGTTCTGCATTTGAATCTCTGCTCGGACTAATATTACTGTGATGCTGAAGGTTGTATCCATACTATATGCGCAGAATTGCTCCAAGGCATGTAATATTTTGCTGGCTGATCAGCAATGCTTTGCATTTGGCAGAACAAGTTTAGTTTGAAAAAGGGGTCTAACATCCTCAATTTGACAGTTTTTGAAAGAAATAAAATCGATTTTTACTGGCATTACTTGATGCCAGTGGTGTTGTACACTAAGTTAGTTCTTCATTTATAAGCTGTTTTAGCCTCCCATTGATGTTTCCAGCAGAAGAACAGCCATACATTTAAAATATTACCTCAGTCCTCTCCAAAAAGATCCTCCTTAGCCTAATTTCGAAAGAATATGACGTCAGTCAAAGATTAAAAAAGTCAAAGTCTTAAGCATTTGTTGTCTTAACCTAAGCTGTGTGGTGAGTCATCAGTATCGTAAAAAGAGGTGTTCAAAAATAGACTACCAAAAGCAGTACCGGCCCAGTAGTTCCTGTGCTAATAGAATAATAAAGGAATCACATAAGCTTCTTCCCTTAATATTTAGAGAATTGGACCAGCTCTTATCAAGGCTGCTTCCGAGATACCTGCTGACTCACTCATTTCATAAACTCCCCGATCAAAAAAGCATTTCCCTCTTGACCCAGGTTAAAAAGCTCTGCTTCTACCTTTAATATTTATGATATATCATTTTGGATCCCCCAATGACTAATGAGACATGGTAGTGTTTTTCCCCCCTCTTTTGAAATGTGATATTAACATTCATTTCTGACAATTCTGTAAAAGTTATGTGGTTTTTTAAACATTTTCTAACGCCATCGGCTGATTTCATGATGGAAAACAGTTTGCTTAATGAAAAATGGAGGAGCATGCATCCTATTACTGGTTTTTAAAAATATAAAAACCTTTGACCCGCAGAAGTGGATTCAGAACATTTTTCCTCCCTTATATATCATCGAACGTAAGAAAAAACAAGAAATCATCAGGAATGAAAGTCTCCAAATAGTGTCATCGTGTTTATATCGAACAGGGGAGCGATGGTGTTTGTAATCCCTTTATTTTCCTCTGGGAGCTGAAAAGCTGGCAGTTTTTCTTGCTCTGTTTACCAGGAGGAAAAATGCACGGTGACAGATATTTTAGACTGTTTGAGGAGATCAAAGATCGAAGCCGGCGAAAACTAAGAGACAACGGCGGAGCTGTCTGCTCGCTGTTCTCTACCTGACATCAGTGCCGGGATTAGTATACAGATGATTTCTGCCTCGGATTTGTTTCTGTTGGTTTTTTTTTCTCCTTTCGTAACTCTTCCTCGTCTTTTATTTGCTACATCCTTCTTTCAGTTCCCCCCGCCTCTCTTGATCTCACACATGCACAAATCCCTCTGTTTGGCACGTCACCTTAACCCCACCCATGAGACATGACAGCACCTGTGATCAGAGGTCTGCCTCGGTATCGCACAAACAGATGTGATGTCAGCATGGGAGCCGGGCCGTGTGTGTTTGTGTTTGTGTGTGTATTATCGGTGGCTGTCGACCCGTGTAATGCAATTTTAAAAATGAACCGCACCATTGCTGTTATCCCCTTCAATAAGACTCTCTGCCCTCACCTTCTCTTTGTTCCAGTTGAATTCACGATGAAGAGTGTTTTTGTTTTTTTGTCAACACTTACTTGAGCATGTGTGTATTCACGCCACTCAGCCAGCCCGTGCCGGTGCACAGGACCTGAGCACTGGCCCTGGCGGACCCCCTATTGTCTGGGTTGTGACCAGAAGAGCGAGCGTGCCAAAACCTGTGTCTGCCTGTGATCTGAATTCAAATGGGGCCGCCTGGCTCAGAGCAGCCCCGGCAGACCGTCATGGCACAGAGAAAAAAGGCCGCTTGCCTTTTATACAACACTCTGTAGCTACCTTTAAATTATTTTTAGAAAGCGATATGTTGCCTTCTGAATGATCAGGAGGATACATTTATTTATTTTTCTTTGAGCATCATCTGATGTTTTCTAAGTGAAAACCGCGTTTTCGTTACTTAGCCCCACTTTTGAGGGATACATCTAATTGGACTGAATCAGGTACGCAGTTTAGCTTGGCGTTGTGCTTTAAAGGCGATGCTGAAAAATGATTTTCCCGCCGCGTAGCCCGCAGTCAGAACCAGAAAAAGCAAAGCGGGAGGAAGTCATTACTCTCCTGTAATGATAATGTTTCAAGGTGGGCTTTGTCCTCACTCGTCTCTGGGAGACGGCTCCAGGCTTTATTTCTTTTTGATTGTTACATCCCATTACACGAAAAGGTTACTCAAATGTTAT